TTCACTATCCAAGCAAGCAGTGGTATTCCCATCTTTCTTGATATCCCTTATGTATGAAGTCACATAGGATTCCTTTGTGGGTATGTCTGCCATCGCATTTGCAAATCTACTGACAGATTAAGTGTCTTGGATGAATAGATCTCTGGCATTTTGTTCTAGACAAATGCTTACACTAGACTCTTTAGCTTTGGATTTAAGACATTGTTTTTGTCACTCCGTGCATAAGATCAAATGACAGCTAAGCATCCATGGTAGAGGTGGAACACATCAGGTATTGGATGCATTGTCAAGGGAAAGCACACAATGGTATATGTCACTATCTGTCTGGTGTGAGCATTAGATCCTCATTGTGTCCACTGCTCCTCCGCAAGCCACAGTCTCTGTTGTTCCAGTTGTTTTGTTGAGGATATTATGAGCCTTCCTTTCACTCCACCTTCATTATTTCCTGTCTGATCCAATTCTAAAAGGGATTACTTTTACTAATCGTGCACTTGGGGATCTACACTGATGTATCAACTACTTCTGATTCTACACTGCTGAAATGGGTGTCAAGTCAGCTGCTAACACAGAATAAAGCAGAATTTTTCATGAAGATATCTGGGGAGTTTCTAATCTGAATTAAACTACTATTGAGTATTTAAAAAAACCCCAAGACAAATATGTTAGTGAGGGAAGAAAGTAGGGTAAGAGAGAAAGAGGAGAAAACAAAGGAAAAGTTTGCAAGTAGAGTGTATGAACTTGAGGTTGCTGAATTTAAACTGCAGCTGAGACTAAAAGCTTGGCTGAAAGCCCAAAGAAACCTACAGTTAAAACACTATCCTATTCCCATTGACAGAGTAGCCAATAAGCTGGCAGTACAGAAAGCTTAAGCACCCAGAGAAATTTCCCATGTTGACAGTTCTGCTCTCCTTGAGGAAAACAATCAATGACTTCTAGAATGCATCACCTAAAAATCATTACATAATCCATTATTTTTAGAAAAGGTAATTGCCCCAACAAATAGCTGTATTTTGTTGGTCTGAAATTGAAACATAAGTGGAAAAAGGTTTTGTTGTATTCAGCATTTTTTACCTGGATATGCCAGGCACCCAGAAGCTTTGTCATTGTGCTTTAAAACTTTTTTTAAAAGATCTTTAGAAAAGCACCACCTTATGTGATTGAGTGGTGCCACATTAAAGAAAAAATGTTAAAATTAATGAGAACACTCACTGCAATGTTAAGATGATAAAAATAATGTGCTCACTTCAAGAGAGCTCAAGACAAAGATTGAGCTTTCCCACTGCTTAGGCTCCTCTCCAAAAAGAAAATCTCTACCTTAGGTCTATTACACTTGACACATCTAAGCTACAAAGGTATGGCTTGAAACTCACACGATATAGAGCTGACATCGATATATTCAAGAATGCCTTTTGCTGGTGCTACCACCTACCTAAATATCAGCATGTACAGGTGTCAGCAGTGAAATGAGTGATTTTCTGAGTCACATAAGGATTGCTTTAGAACAGAATCACTGACATTACAGATAGCTAGGCTGGTTCACATGGAGTGACTCCAGCATACTGTCTTAACCATCGGAGTAATGGAAAGCCTAAAATTTGTTTGGAGAAATGCAACAAATATGTAGTCGTAGAGCTTTAAAATGCTATTTACACTTCAGAATATCACCCTCCCAAAATAACTGGCTCCAACAGAGTAACATTCTATTAAATGCCTTTTTTTATTTGTTTCTTTTCTGTGTTAGCCTACTGATTTGCTTGTTACACCACTGACAGTGTCCAGTGTGATACGAAAACAAGTATGGAGTATGAATTAAATAAAAGAGAAGCTTTCCTAGTTAAACTAGTTTGTATCAAACCATCACATACTGCAAAATGTCAGGATGAAACTTTCTAATACCTGGCCCAAACTACAACACTATATGATAATGTTGGTGAAAATCTAAAAAATGTTTTGCAGATTTTTGCTGACTCACATTATCTGGGGAGAAATCTATCAAACTCAGGAGATGGAAATCTGAACAGATATGCAAATACAATGCTCATACTGTCTAATTATTTCAGAGTTTATCATAAGTGTTCCTGTCAGTCTCCTAATACACTTTTCTCCTGCATACTGTCATTTTTTGGCAAATATTCTTCCCCTGTATTTCTTACCTTAGTCTTTAATTTGAAAGGTTCTACAGTTGCTCAATGAACATAAAAACTATAATTTTTTAACAGTATGTATTATCTCAACACACAAAAGTTGTTGTTTTTTTCCTCTATTCATTCTACAGATCCAATGTGATTGTGTTCAATATAATTTATATAAGATCTTTTTCCCATTCATGAGTTATTTTGGTAAACCATGCACTACTAAAAAGTTCCTCACATTCAAGCAATGAGACCAAGCACTGATTTGAAGTAGGTGAGTGGGGCAATTTATAGATGCATAATTGCTGCTGGAAAACAGAAGAAGGAAAATGAACTAGAATACTTACTTTGATGAATCAATGAAGTATATTACAAGAGCACCAATACTAAGAGCGAAGACTAAGACAACCTACAAAAGAAAAGAATCATTATTTAACATTATTAAAGTGAAGCATTTTTTTACACACAAAAATACAAGGCAAATAAATTATAAACTAGTTGGACCTCCTTTAATTTCAAATCTTACATATTATCACAGACTGCTGTCTTGCATTTAAAAAACAGACACAAACAAGTTAAATCCTAGCTCAGGGGAAAACAGTATACAATTAGATCCTAACCTCTGGTAAATTATTCATTTCAAATGGCAAGCAAGCCCACTGCGTGGCATTCAAATCACAATACAGCTTTATAAGACCTATCCTTCAGGACTGCAGTAAGTTTCTGCTCAATGGTACGTAAATGAAGCATGATGACAGATTAGACACAATTTCCACTTATATACATGGTTGTAAAATCCACAGGCTAAGTAATAAGGCTATGTAAACACGTTTTCTCTACACTCCTGTCCACAGAGACTATACCTAACTTTCAAACAGGTTAAAACAATAGCTTGATGCAGCCTGTCTTGATACAATGAATATATAACCCAAGCACTTTATAGTCCCAGTGTTTCCCCTCACCTTTAAACTAGTTCAAGTTTTTGAACCAAATATATTTTTTAGGTCTAGCAGCTAACTCTTCTTGACAAGATAGACCTTGCTTTTCTGGCTACTGCAGAATAAACTGGATTAATCACATCTCCATCTGTCTCTAATTTCTTTCTTTTCTTTAATTTTTGCTTAAATAAAGTAATAGAGATTCTGGGTATGATCTTCCAAGACACTTAAGGAATTTAAATGTTTCATGACAATTCATAAAACAGACATTAAAATGCAAATATCTAATTTTTGCAAGCAGCTCCAGATTCTTATGCTACAGGAAACAATGAGGTACGTACACAAAACCACACCACTGCCCTGTTGTAATATAAATCTTATTTGAAATCAAGGCTTGTTTCCTCTTCTAAAACACTTATTTAATACTGTAATATCTAATGTCCCCAGAAAACACAAGAAGAGCATCAGAAGACAGCATTTTAAACACCATTAATCTCTCTTAGGTTACTATAAATACAAATTAAGAAAGTCCTATTTACTGTAATGCAAGACAGATGCTAGCTCTAAAAATCAGTGTTCTTCACTTTTTTTTTTTTTTAATTACTTCATATTACCTTTGGATATATTATAGTGAACTAGTTAAATATTCATGATCTTATATTGTGCAATTCATATCCATTCATCCCACAAAATGTTCTTCAGAACTTTCCAATTTGTCGAGACAAATACAAAGTTATATATATCTATATAATAATTTTCCGTTTAGAGACTTCTGTTCCAGTATACCCCAAATCCCAAGAGTAAAGCAAGATTAAGGATCTCTAAAATCAATTAGCAGGACCTAGTATCATGCTCTGGATGGAGCTGTACACTGACTTTTCTCCAGGATTAAGAGTGCCTCTGCTTCTTTACCTGGTCCCTCCCAAGCCAACATATAATCAACTAAAGCAACAAAGGCAAAAGCACAAAACATTCACTGTCTATTCTATGAGATCACAAATTCCCACGGGCTCTTAGAAGGTAATTCTACCTCAATCAGGTTTGTAAGATTGTACTTTTTATTGATTAAAGGCTCTGTTAATATCTTCCAGAACAACTGCATACAATGACAACTTCTCTTTTTAAAAAAAAACAACACAATCTAAATCTGTGCCAGTAGTTGCAGACCAGTTTACAAGAGCAAACCAGGAAACACAAGCAAATGAGGGATGAAGTGGGTAAATACAAAAAAGATAAAGAGATAAAATAACAAAAATACAAAGTAAGATTCTATCTTGCTCCTAACAGGAATATACAGCAAATGAAAATTTAACCAAGAACTCCAAGAAACTGGGAAATTTCCTCTTGTTTACCTTTTATTCCCAAATACAGGAAAGCAAATCTTGCAGTTAATGTACTCGCTGTGTAAGAGCCATGCTTGATGAAACACAGTACCATGAAGAAGCAGCAGTAATATATGCATTGGTTCTTATGTGAGTACGAAGTGCGAGTTCCAGTCAGCATCTGGTGTTGACAACAGGATACATGCCAACAGCTTTGAATCTCAAGGGGTTTGCTTGCTGGGTAGTGGGCTAGCTAATAAATCTGTCTCAGTGACTTAATGATCCTGCCATTTTGCATGCAGAAGAGGCCGGTGGTGCAGGGGTGAGAAAAAAAACCAACCAACCAATCAATACACTTCTGCTAATTCTTCCACACTTCGAATATCAGCTCAGAATTAGTATTCTAGAAGTATTCTAGAAGGAATTAAGCACTTCCAAACTAGACAGTGGGCAATCCCATCTTTCAGGGATGTCAGAATAGGTTCAAGAGCACACAACTCTGAAGACCTTTGCTAACTCTTAGTTTTCAGCCTGAAGGGTTTAAATAACTAAATCCAAATTTCCCAACTTGGATAGTCACATTAAAAGCTTCTCACAAACCCAGACCTGAAAATACTTGCATGCAAGTTATTTCAACTATATTTTCTGCTTTTTGTTTTTGTTTACCTTTATTACACAAGAAGTTAACTAGCTAGTTAGTTAGCAATTAAGTTCTACTAAATTAGTTACCAACATGCATTAAATAGAGTACAGAAAACTTTGGCAGCTTTACAAGTTTCTTTGCTGTTTAAATTTTCCCCTTTCGCTAAGATCACATAGACTTACCACTCACCAAAAAAAGTCTAAGTTTATCCAAAACAGGAGGTAAAGGAGAGTGAGAAATAGCTACTTGATAAACCAAGAGGCAGTAAGGTTTCAGTGAAATTCCCTAAAAAATTCATAGCCAGGATTAATTTTAAAAATAGAAGGCAGCAGTAAGGTAGGTAAGCATGAGCTCTACATGATGATCATGAGTAATCAGAAATCTTAGTTATAATCACTCATGTGGTGTGCAACCTAAAACATATTACTTGACCTCTTCTGCCTCTTGCTTTCATTTGGCTAGGATGCTACATGCCAACTCATTAGGGCAACACCTGTCTTTCATAACAGGTGTTTGCAATGGACCTAGCACAGCTGAGACCTCTACTGCTACCACAATGATAAACCGCCTGAGTAGGACACTATGTAGCAGTGTCAGCACTATCCGTGAGAAAAAAGGGAGTTTATTAAAAGGTTTCATTTAGATAGAAAGGCATAAATATCTCTACGATAAACTTCTCTTTCTGGAATTACATTTTTTTTATCCCACTGCCCTGTACAGTAGGGTTTTAATGTATTACTAAAATTATGTATTTATTGTAAATATATATTTAAAAATACAGTTCATATTTAATGCATCTTTTTTTACACACTTGTGTAATAGTGAGATGAAATACAGCAACAAAATTGCTGGAAGAGAAAACACACCAGACACAACAGTTATGAAAAAAATTAAAGAAAAAATAGCCACATATTATTATAAATAGTCACTGAACTTATACATCAGAACAATAACTTCAGTATTATCTGAAACCTATAGGTAAAATGTAATGTAAACACCTTAATCACTGTGATGTTGCCCAACTATTCATAACTGTAGTAAGTAATTAAGGTAGCGTGTAACTGGTAGTAGTATACATGACATCTCTGAATAAAACCACACAAGAGAATTAGCAAATTCAGCTTCTCTGCCATCAGCTGCATTTTATTCTCTCTTCAATAAAAGAATCAACTTTCTTACATAGACTTTAGCAGAATGTCTCTCATTTTAGAAGACTGCTAGAAATTAATAAGGATCTGTCATATTAGAGGAATGCGGTGCAATCAAAATTCAGGAATCATTAGAGTAAACACAAGATTAAGGAACATGAAAAATCAAAGCAGGAAATAAACCAAAGAAAATTAATATCTTAATGCACTTTTGTTTTCCACACACATTCACAATTGCATGTGAGGAAGAATTTTTAAAAAGCAAATATCCTCGTTATGTTCAGTTCCATACATTCTTCTAATATTTCAGCTTTATTTTTCTTACTTTATAAACACGGTATTTTTTCCTCAACTTTACACTGACATATTGAAAAAGAAATGAAAATTTATGTGCAATCCATAAATTTGAAAAGACTGAGCTTTTCTAATTAATGAAAAAACATAAGACAAAAAGTCCCATCTGTTAATGGTGCTCTGTAGCTTGAAGTTAATTAGGTTTGCTGGGAGAGTGCCTGACAATATGACCAATTAAAGTGCATGCAACTTTTACAAAGTATTCAATTTCATTTTTTCAAAAATATAGCAATACTTTATATCAAAATGTACCATTTTTTAGAGCTAAAGCCACAGCATTATACGTATGTAAGTACATGTGTGCACACGTGTGTATATGTATTTTTTCCCCCCTCTCAAAACTAAAAGGTCCTGCCCTCCTGTCACCCAAATCACCTTCCTTTAAGGCAAACAAAACTAAAATTCAATTTTTGTGTATTGTTAAAAGCGTAACTCATACTGATTTCCAGTGGATGCGTGACTGGCTCTACAGTCATGCTGAGCAAGAGTTATGTTGGTAATAGTTACCTACAAACTATTATTCTTCTAGTTGTCAATGTTCTCATTTCCAAGCTCATTATAGACTGACTGTAGGCAAGGGCCATCAGTGAACCTACTGGAATCTCATTTTAGAAATAAGTGACTGACCTGTCAAGCATGCAAATCACTCTAACTGAAAAGCAAACAAGGTCAACTGCAAAACTACTCCAAGGCAGAAGAACCCAGCTCTAGAGCATGGAATCCCTACCATATTACAAGACAAGAAAAATGTAGCACTCAAAATGATGTTTGATTATTCACAGTGCTAGGCCTGGGAAAAGCCTCTGTTTATTGTGTCAAGCCCTGCAATGTGTTTTATGGTATTTTTTTCTTTTTGTTTCTATGTTCTTATGTTTCAGTTATGACAGAAGTCTTTTAGCTCAACATGAAGAATTGGAATCAAAATACTTCAGAAGGAACTCTTTGTTGTAATAATACCTCAACCCACCACTGAATAATGAAAGTGACTGAGGTAAAGGAGATAA